TCACCACCATCATCATCACCATCATCACCATCATCATGCAACAACATCATCATCACCACCACCATAAACATCCTCACCATCATCATCGACATCACCATCATTATTATCGTCGTCATCATCATCATCATCAACAGTCCAATAATAAAAATTTTAATATTAAAATATTATTTTTATAAATGATACTTTTACTGCTTCTATTATTATCGTTACTACTACTACTAATAATAACAATAACAACAACAATAATAATACTAATAATAATTATAATAACAATAACAATACAAATAATAACAACAAGGTGTTGATGAAGGACATCGTGACCCCGGTGGCACTGGAGGAGGTCAGGGGGGTCATCAGGAGGTGCCTCGAGAACGCTGCCCTCGTCAACTACACCAAGATCACTGAGACCATGAAACTCGAAGGTGTGCGTGTGTGTGTTTGCATGTGTGTGTGTATCAGTGCGTGTGTGCGCGCGTGTGTGTGTATGCGTGCGTGTGTGCGTGCGTGTGTGTGTGTCTCATTAGCATAAATTATTATCTAATTAAAAAATTATTAAGTTATCTATATGAATTAAGATAAAATAAAAATTATTACCTCATTATTAGCATTACTACCTCATCAGCATAAATCAGGGGTGGGGGCAAACTTTTTGCCGTGAGGGCCGCATTGAGAACTATTTTACCTTTGAAGGGCCGCACATGTACTTAAATAGCAAATTTTTTCGACCCGGGGGAGAACTTTTTAGGATTTGTGGTTTCATTTTTTGGTCCTAATGTCTGGCTGACGATCGAGCCGTAGTTTGCATAAATTAATCTCTGGTTAACATGCATCGTTGATTTCATAATTTTTACAGCGATTCTCTTGAGTTGACTTCAGAAACAAAAGCTGCATACTGCAATCTCATTAGCATATTTATCATCTCATTAGCATAACTTATAATTTCATTAGCATAACTTATAATCTCATAAGCATAACTTATAATCTCATTAGCATAACTTATAATCCCATTAGCAGAACTTATAATCTCATTGGCATAACTTATAATCTCATAGCATAACTCATAATCTCATTAGCATAACTTATAATCTCATTGGCATAACTTATAATCTCATTAGCATAAATAATTATCTCTATTCACCAGCATGAATTATAATCTCACTAATATAACTTTGTTAATCCGCATAAACTGGATCTCATTGAGATGCATAAATTCATGTACGTACATGGGTTTGTGCAAGGTCAATATATGACATTATTATTATTATTACCATTAATTCAGTAGTATAAATTATCATCTCATTAGCATAAATTATGTTAATAGATTCGATGATGACGTGCGATGACGCTGATTGTAAGAAGAAGCTGGAGAGCCTGATGAGGCTGGCAGAGATGTGCATCGAGGTGCTGCAGCAGAAGGAGGAGTACCATGCTGAGGTGGTGGTGGTGGTGGTGGTGATGGTGATGGGGATGATGGTGGTTATGATGGTGGTGGTGGTGGTGAAAAAAATAATTATAACAATAATATAATAGAAAACAACAACACTAACAAATAATAATAAGCATAAAAATGATGACAATGGTGGTCTTGATGATGATGATGATGATGTGACGTCATTCATACATGCATGCATTCATGCATGCATGTTTACCTGCCTGCAGAGACGCACACATACACACAACGAGACTCAGACATACACAAACACAGACGCACACACACACACAGACACAAAAATACTCGTGAATGGCTTTTTGCAATCTCTGTAGGACAAAAATGTGAAAGGCATTGCATTATTAGATTCTCAAGACGTTACGATAGTTATGATGGTGGTGACTACGGTGATGATGACGTCATGAGGATGAGGATGAATGATGATAATGATTATGATGATGACGATGGCGCCTCACCAGCCACCACAAACACACCACAAACACTCCGACACAACTCGACCACCACAAACACTCCGCAAATAATTTTTTGCTACACAACGTTTGCACCATTTTGTAAACATGTCTCCATCAAACACCACAAAAATTTCCCCTCTACACACTGCACCTTCCTATCACACACAACACCTCCCACCACACACCACACCTCCCACCACACACCACACCTCCCACCACACACCCCACCACACACCTCTCACCACATACCACACCTCCCACCACACACCCCACCACACACCACACCTCCCACCACACACCACACCTCCCACCACACACCACCCACCACACACCACAACTCTCACCACACCCCACAACGCATCACCAACAGGCATTCGCTTGGTTCAGTGACCTGATGGTAGAACACTCTGAAATTTTCTGGTCCCTATTCGCTGTAGACATGGACTCGATCCTGGAGATGCAACATCCGGATTCATGGGACAGCTTCCCGCTCTTCCAGATGCTCAATGACTACTTGCACAGCCACGGTCAGTCAGTCAGTCAGTCGCACTGATGATGGTGATGATGATGCTGCTGTTCCTAATAATAATAATAATGATAATAATAATGATGATGATGATGATGATGATAATAATAATAATAATAATAATAATGATAATAATGATAATAATAATGATAATAATAATGTGAACTCTTTTATTTTCCAAAGACAGAGCATAAGTAAAATCAAAATATTGACAATAAAATAAAATTGAATATAGTTAAATATACAGTTAGATGAATAAAATAAAATAAAATAAAGATAAAGTGTTAGAGTAATACGGATAGTCATCATTGCTCGTCATCTTATGAAAATAAGTAAGTACCATGATGATAAATAGTATAAAAAACTTCACTCATTGTTTCTATCACAGTACAGAGCATATGATGACGAAATTACACTGTTAATCAAGCTAAATCTAAAATAATCGGTCCATGTTATATCAATTAAAGACATATTAAAAGGATTGTAAAAGCCAATTAGCGATATTTCAAAGGTATTAATTAAAATATTGCAATGCTTAAAGTCATCAATAATATTATCTTTCAAATTACCAATATATTTATTCATTTTAAATTGTTTTGATTTTATGAAGTTATTTTCATGGCAGACAGTCAGTTCAAGTATCTCGATCTTGTCTTTGTTGCGGACAGCAATGTCAGAACGGAATGATCTGAACAAGTCTGTTATTGGTCGTATCTTTTCCCCTTTCAAATTTGAGATAACCACGGAGTTATAGACGTAACATCTCGGCGTGCCGTTTCAACGATTTTATGTTGAGGCCACCAGTTTTATACGGCAGCGAGCTAACTTCGGCGATGCAACTGCTTATGGGCAGTGATAGCCATTCTCTTACTGTTTCTGTCACAAGGCGGTCCAGTGTGTTTTCTATCCAGGTTAGCGAAATATTGTAGGTACGTAGTTCAAATGAGATTTGAGTAGGGACAAAACGCCTAAGAATTTCCAGCTTCCATTGAACAGTTATATCCAGTCCACCAATTTTCCTCAGCATAACCTTGAGCTTATTGTGCAGTTTGTCTTTCTCTCTGGTATCTTTGCCCTCAAAATCGTACATTATTCCTAAGTACGTAAAACCTTCGTTAATATTCACCCGGGGAATTATTTCATCATCTATTGTCAATTGAGGCAAAAACTGCTCATACTTTCCGTCCAGCTTTCTCATCCCAAATGTACAGCATTTGTCAGTTCTCAGCTTCATACCTGTCCATTTGCACCATGCTTGGCTGAGATTGATCAATCTCTGGGCTCTCTCGGAACTGTTAGCAATGATTGCCGAATCGTCGGCAAACTGAAACCAGCCTCTGGATTTTAGATTGGCTGTTGGTCCCCATATGTATCCGCATTTTCATCTTTGCCGTTTGACTTCTAGCATTTTCATTAGAGGATTGAAACAGAGGTTAAAAATCAATGGTGAGCCTGGGTCACTTTGTAGGACCCCCTTTTTACTTGAATTGGGGAGGTTAATTTGTTGCACGCCGATACAGTTATCGAGTAATCGGCGTATATTGATCTAAATAGATTGCTGGCCTGGTTTGGGATGTGGTGATAACTTAGGATAGATGAAATTAGATCATGGCTAACCTCGCCAAATGCATTTCTTAAATCTAGGAGGGTAACAATGATTGTCCTCTGATGTCTCTTGGCGTCCTTTAGAAGGTGAGATAGTAGTTGCGTGTGTTCAGCTACACCGCCAACTTTGGGGTAGAAGCCTTTTTGGATGTTTTTATTAATGAAGTTGTTTGAATCTAAATATTTGTATATTCTATTGTTTACAAATGTTGAGAAAATTTTATAGAATACTGGTTGAAGTATTATTGGCCTGAAATTCGCTGGGTCGTTGGCGTTTCTCTTTTTGTAGATCAGTATGGTCAACCCTTTTCTCCAGCATGTAGGGATCGACGACCTTCTCCAACACTCAACCAGTAATAGATGAAGGATTGTGCGAAGTATGGGACATTTTTTGAGAATTATTATTGACATTTGATCTAGAGGACAAGGAGATGCTTTCGACTTGCATTTCTTGATTATTGAGAATATTTCATTGTACGTAGGAGGATTGGTATTGCAGGCAATTGAAGGGATCGTTAGAGGTTCGATCCAATTTGGAAGGCGATATTTATTGTGAAATGGGTCTTTTAAAATTTTGTTGAAAAATTTGTTGGCTTCTTCGACGCTAAACAGTGGTGACAGAGCGGTTGTCGGATTTAGTAATTTTTCACACGTTGCCCAGAATTTTTGTTTTAATTGGCTTGTGATATTGACTGTTTTTTCAGCTTTTATCGCTTTTGCTGATGATATTTTTGATCTAATATGTTTGCTCAGCGTGCTAATTTGGACGTTAAAATTGTGGCTGTTACGGCATAGCAGCTTTAATTGTTTCAATTCTTACCTTAGTTTGTTGATTGGTTTATCGAGTGATGTTATTGAGCTTGATTTTTGATTAAGAGTGCCGTAATTTGATGCGAAATAATTGTATATTAGTGTTTGTAGAGTGGTAGTGAAGTTATTGATGTCAGTAATGTTTGGCAGTGTTGCTATTTGAGAGTGGAAGTATGCATTGGCTTCAAGCCAATGAGTTGTTGTTTTGGGTAGTTTTATCCCTGGGAGTGGTGTATTGTTCGTGATGTTGTTTGCCGGTGGCGATGATGTTGGCGGCGGTGGAGATTCTTTCTGTTGCATCAGAGATGACGTCAATTTGGAATCCGCTTCTGGATCATTTGGAGATTTTCTCAAATTTTGCAAGTCCTTGAATGTTTTGCACGATCGTTGGTGCATTCGCAAACCTTTTCTCCCTTTACATCGTCTACCACAGCAACAAGTTGTTAAATTGTTATCAGTACCAACGGCAATATTATTATTTAAATTATCGGCCAGTAAATTTGGAGAAATTATGATATTGTCACCTGTTTGTAAACGTGCATTATTGTAATTGTTACTGTTTGCAGTAGATTTTGTACAACGCCAGGAGTGGCTTCCGAGTTTAACAAAATCTCTAAAGCAATATGGGCATTTTGCAACTTAATTATTAAAATTAAGTTAAAAATTATAATTAAATTTAATAGATATTTAGAATTAGGAAAAATTAATATCATTTTATTCGTCATAATTTTTCGCAATTTTTATACCTATTTTTTTATACTTTAAAACGATATAAAACTCGATTAATGTAACTAAAATAGTGAGCTAGTAAAAGTATTCTCGTATTTCGCAATACAATAATAATAATAATAATAGATGATGATGCCTTTCATAATAAAAATAACAATGATAGATGATGATGATGGTGCTGTTCATAATAATGGGAACATCATTTTATTTTCATCATAAATCACATTTTCAAAAAATTTGTCAATGAATTAAAATTTAATAAAAGTAAAACTGTTTTAAAATTAAGAATTAAAATATTCTACGAAGCTCGACATCCTAAAGAAGAATGCATACAACAAGAAAGGATTAGTTCTAAATGATGCATTCAATTAGTATTTCTGTCACAATAAATGGCATACGATGACGATATTGCAGAGTACATGAGACTATTGTTAAATTGGTCAGACCAAGTTAAGTCGATTAATGTCAAATTGAAGTACTTAAAAAAGCCTAGTGGCGAAATTTCGAAAGTGTTCATTAATATTTTTAAATATTTAAAATCGTCAAGTAAATTATCGTGCAAATTAGAATATTTAGATATTTTATATTGTTTGGAATTAAAAAAGTTCGATTCGTGGCAGACCGTTAGTTTCAATATTTCGATTGTGTTGCCGCAGAGCAATGCGATGGTAGTGAGCGGATATCTTTGCAGTTCGTGTCAGCAAATATTGAAACCTCTGGTCCCGCACACGATTTTAGTGTTTCTACGATTATATTCAAAATGTTGTCGTGGCGTGTAGTGTATCTATTCAGTGCCACCATCGAGTTGCAGTTGGACAGAACATGCTTGTTGGTTTGCCTTTCATTGCAGAGCAGACAAAGGGCAGTTGACGATTTCCCCCATCTAATCAGATTAGCATTCGTGGGGAGCTGTTGGATGAGACTTTTTCTGACGAATTTAAATAGGGTCTCTGGTAGACTTTCAGTGAACTTTGACCAGTAAGCAATTCTAGTCGTGAAAATGTGGTTTTTTTATCGATTTCAGAAGCGTCCCTTGGCAGCGGAGCGACAGCAAATGTTTTAGTTCTGCATTTTCTTGTTGAGTCATTAGCGCTTTGAGTGTCGGTTTGATATCCTTTGTGTCCGGTAGCAAGTTGTCAATCTTTGTGTAGCTATTGTGCGACTCACTCCATAAACACTTTAGTTCATCTTTGCCGTTTGACTTCAGATAGTTTCGGAGTTTCAATCTTAACGATTCGGCAAAGTTTTTGAGTGATCTAACGTTTAGACCTCCTGATTTACTGGGGAGCGACAAGCTTTCTGATAGGCAGCTGCTAATTGGCAATGACAACCATGCTCTAACCGTATCGGTAACCAGTAGATCCAGGTACGTTTCAATCCAGGTTAGCAAAACGTTGTAGGCGCGAAACTCAAATGCAAACTGTGATGGAAGGTAGTATCTTAATATTTTCAATTTTAGTTGTACTGTTGTCTTTAATTCAGTGACAGTTGCTAGTATTGTCTTCAGTTTGTTGATCATTTGGCTTTTGGCCTCTGTGTTGCTTCCTTCGTGATCGTACAATTTACCAAGATATACGAAGTGGCCTCTAATGACAACTTGAGGGATATGTTTGTCATTAATGGACGGCACCGGAGAGAACTGTTCGTAAACACCGTTTCGTTTTCTCATCCCAAATGAGGAACACTTGTCAATCTTCAAAGTCATTCCAGTCGCTGTGCACCATGCCTGATTCAAGTTAATTAATTTTTGTGCACTTTCTGTGCTGTTAGCAAAAATCGCCGTGTCATGCTCTTGTTTTCAAATTATCTGTGGGACCCCAAATGTATCCACATTGTTGGAATTCAGCTTTTTCAACTACTTTCATTAGGGGATTGAAGCAGAGGTTAAAGAGCAGTGACGACACGGGATCTTCTTGGAGCACACCTCGATTGACTGGAATGGGGGATGTTAGTTGGTCGGCTCCGGATACCGTTATTGAATATTTAGTGTATATGTCTTTAATTAGTCTGCTTATGTGAGATGGAATGTGATGATAGTCCAGAGTTGATAAGATGAGACTGGGACTGACCTTACAAAATGCGTTTCAAAGGTCTAGTAGGGAAACAGTTATTGTTCTTTGGTGTTTTCTCGCATCGTTGAGAAGGTGAGTGAGAAAGTTGATGAAAGATGAAAATATTTTGTGTAGTGTAGGTTGAGGTTGCATAATAATAATAATAATAATAATAGTAATAATAATATTACAATAAAATATTTTTTTTTGGCCACAAAATTTGATAAAATCAAGGGCACGGGATGGCTGTGAGGAGTCTTTGAGACTTATCGAGCTCAGCCACCTTTTCAAAATATGATGTATAATTTTCAGTTTCATACACACACACACACACACACCACACACACACACACACACACACACACACATACACAACAAAAATAATAACAACAAACATTAAGGACAACAACAAATACAACAATAATAATAACAACAAACAATAATAATAACAACACACAGTAAGAACAACAACAAACATAACAACAATAATAACAACAAACAGTAAGAACAACAACAAACAGTAAGAACAACAACAAACACAACAACAATAATAACAACAAACAGTAAGAACAACAACAAACAGTAAGAACAACAACAAACACAACAATAATAATAACAACAAACAGTAAGAACAACAACAAACAGTAAGAACAACACCAAACACAACAATAATAATAACAACAAACAGTAAGAACAACAACAAACAGTAAGAACAACAACAAACACAACAATAATAATAACAACAAACAATAATAATAACAACAACAAACAGTAAGAACAACAACAAACACAACAACA